GAGAGTCAGAGTCAGAGTATCTTTATATTGACCAGCCTTTCAGACAGCTCTCCAAGGAGACCCGGACCTATTACTGCTCTCCTGAAGCAGAGCTGGCCCTGCGGTGCTACCTCAAGACCTGCTAAGATGTACAGTGCACGACTGCTCATGCATTTTCGAGCCGGTCTGAATTATTGAGAGAATGGATGAGTCAATTCAGACAGAGTTAACACTGGCTGGTTCACCAGTGTGTGTCTGAATTTTTTTTTCTTTTTCTGTTTAATCTAGGCTATCAGAAAAATAAATGTGTGGAATCAAGCAGAATGGGAATTTTATTTTATCTCTTGCTTGTGAGATTGGTTAAATTTGCTTTGGCTTTCTGAGCGAGATTGGCTTTTGAACAGACAGTTCCTTCAATTTGGGTTTAGCTAAAGGAATTATAGGTTTATTTTAGGCCTTTATTTTCTTGTCTCTTTCCTTTGTTGCTATGGTAACCTTCCACATCCCCTAAATTGCCCCTCGTCTGACTGATGGGTGGTCCTTTCTCTTTTCTTCAACAAGGCTAGTGCACAGACAGAGGTCGTTGTTTTGTTGTCTATCTTTGATTTTTTTTTCCTTTTAATGTGTTTGTGTAACCGAGAAGGCCAGATGACGGCAAATTGATCCGGGTGGTCACAGATGGAGATGTGTGAGTCGAGCCTGAGTGGTTCAGGCCTCTGAGTGTCACGCTTCTCACGGCCCTCCTGAAGTGTAGTTTTCAAAACAATACACTTATACCCAAGAGTCTTCCCTGTTCTTGTTCGCTCAATGACTACTTATTATTAAAGTCTTATCCAGGGTTCGTGTCACAGAGCATAAACGCTCCTATCAGAAAACGCTCGGCGTCGAAGCCAATATCAAAAAGAGGAAGTGCTATCTTCTTCTCTGCCACATCCTCTCATGCGCTTATCTTCCTTTTCAACCCTGTGACATGTTATTTTCTTTCAAGTCAACAGTTTGAAATTGAGTACAGCCAGACCTTTGCATTGATAGAAATAACAAGAGTCTATTCAGATTGAGTACAGCCCTCCACTTCTGATATATCGCTGTTTTGACACTTTGTGGAGTTGACATCAGCTAAGGAACTCAATTCTGCCGAGTCGCTCCCAGAGTGCTGAAGGTAAGCTTATTCAAAAAGACTTTTTGTTTATGACCTTGTTTGAAAGTTACTGTCAACCTCAGGAAAAGGAAGCCACACACAATCTAAACACCCAGAGAAAGAGAAGTTGCTCACCGAGGCGTTTCTGTTCCACAGATCCAGGAAACAACCGTTTGACAAGCTCCAGGTCACGTCTGTTTTGTCAGAGTGTGTTGCTTTATGTGTTTGCTGTGCTTTGTCTCAGGCCATATGATTCAAAATGTTCACAGAAACAAGACCAGCCCCTGTAACTCTGCAGGGACCTGAAGTTCTTGATCTAATGAGTTTGCCGTTGAGAAAAAAAAGAAAAGGGAAAAAAAGAAGTGAGGAAGTTAAGTGGCTTCCTGTTTTGGTATAACGTGTTTTTGGAACAGATCGATTCAAAACCCAATCAGTTTCCGTTTCTCTGTGTTTTTAGAAACGTGTAACACCTTCAGTCAGAGTAATATACCTGCATTAGAAGTTCTGTGTGGCTGAGCTGAGCACAAGGCTGTTTTTGTCTTTGTACTTTAAAAGCAACAATTCTGAGATACAAGATTTCCTCTCAAAGGTAAGCTGTCTGCCATCACAGCCGGCATTTTTCACTGCTGGTCAGTCCTCAAAACCAGCTGAAAACTGAGCAGTATGGCTCCGGACTTACTGAGGCACCACTGAGAGTATTTTCTGCCAAACATATTCATAGAGAAAGTGTTTCTTCATTCTTCTGTGCTTTACAACCCACTTTCCCCCCTGAGAAAGTTGGAACAAATTGTGTACAAATTGTGTATTGTGATGAAAGCAGAATTCAGTGATTTGCACATCCTTTAAACCTTGCCTTTGGGGTGCAAAGACAAATAGTAAAACTGCGAAGTGTTTAAAAAAAGAGATGCACATTTTGAATTTGAAGCCAGCAACATGCTTTGGAAGAGGTTATATTAGGGCTATGTTTCCTGCTGGGTGTCTTTTAATAACAGTCCAAGCATGTGGTAAGTCTTAAGACCAACTGATTGAAAGTAAAATGTTTTTCTGTTCTTGCTTGAAATAGAATTATTATCTTCCTCTTTGTATTTTACATCAAAGTAGGAAATTGAACGGTCCCAATATTTTCAATAGTTGACTATTCTGACTAGAGGAAGGTGATTTTACCATCTGGACTATTTTAATAAGGAGTCATGCTGTTGTGCAGAGTGTGGTTTGACTTTGTTTAGCCAAAATAAGCAGGGTCTTGTTGAAAAGGGCATCTGGACAACAATGCAAACAATGAAACTCTGTACCTTTTAGCATTAATAAACCCTTCTCAAAGTTTGCAAGTTTGCTGTTTGCTGTTTATATGAACGGTTCATGTTCCCTTTAATCCAGATGTTGTATTCATGTCTAAAAAAATGTACAGTTTTAATTAGTAGACCACAAGACATCACCTCTGTTCAAATGAGTCCAAACTCATTTATTTTGCATGGAAATCTTTTCAAAATTGGATTTGTAGATGGAACAATGGAGTTTACACTGTTTTTGTAGATGTTCTT